TGGGGGGTGGGCTGTGGCGGTGCAGCGTGGCCCCGGGCGGCGCTGGCGTTTTCGCGTGTGCTTAAAAACCCGTGCGGGGGCCCTAGGGAGAAAGGGGCCCTCGTGGAGGAAGGTGTGGAGTGGGAGGGGCGGGCATGCATTCCGCAGGGGAAGAGGGTGGGCTGCCCTGCAGTCATGCGTGCCCTCTGTCTGGTTGTAGCTCTGCGAACTTTGAAAAGCATACTTTTCTTCTTCCGTGAAATAAGGATTTATTCTGAAGTGTGGCAGTAGTCACCAGAAACCAGTTTTAGTGCTGAAATGGAAAAAAAATCCTTTTTCTTCTTTCGACAGTAAAAAAAAAGACTTATGAAACTTGCGAACCCCTTCCCTACTGAGAGACAGTGTCATTTCTTATCGAAAGTTCATGATAAATCAGCTACTGCAAGCTTGGGATTTCAGTATTCCTAATAATCTGCTTGAAGCTCAAGCATTACTGTGTTGTTACTGGCATTTAATTCTCCTGTTTCTTTTTTTCATTTTGGGTCATTAGCTTGATGATACATGGCCAAAAATAAAAAGCACCTAACTGGTTAGGTTTTACTTAGCGACCTGTGCTAACTTCATTTTTGTTTGTTTGTTTTTATATGCTTTTCAAAAAAGTTAAGCCTTCTTACTCAGCAGGATGGAGGATGGTCCATACTGTCAATATCATTGTGTAAAACCTGAGCCATACCTTTCTATCTTCTTGCATGTATCTCATTCCAGAATTGACAAAATGTCACGCTTTTATGTACTTCATTTTTTATATATTAAGTACAGTATTGCTTCAAAGTAAAAATGGTGTATTTTAAAAAGCACATGTATAACGTGGGTAGGCTCAAAACTGTTCAGACAGTTAAAACGCAAAATTATTTTAAAGGAGTAAGGATAGCTTCTGAAACGTGATATACTAAGGAACTGGGACAGGAAACACAGCATAACTTAAGTCACTTCACGGATGACAGTCTATGGGATGGTATGGCCATGTGAATTAAGCTGTTTTTTTGCAATATAGATTTTATGTAGGGGGGTAGATGTGTTTGAGGTCTGCAATCAGAATTTCATGATTCTGTAGTTTGTCACATTTCCTTATTTTTGCTTTTTCTGTTTCAAATTGTAATTATATTTATTTCATTTTCTTACGCAGTGCTAAAAAAGTAATTTCAAAGTTATTCACACAATGGCCTTTGAAAGGATACCACAAAAGGACTGGTACAAAATCCTGGGTGCAAAGCCATCAGACAGTCTGGCAGAACTGAAACGGAAGTACCAAACACTTGCTTTATTAGTAAGTATGTTTTTGTTATTTAAGATGTGCAAAATTCAATTTTATAAACCAAGAAGATAATAATTGCAGGTTTTGTTTTTACATTTTTTTTATAACTATGATTAATCAGAGCGTGTTTATAATATCAGTTCACTGAAGCTGGTTTAGGTTTGAAATAAACATCTGGAGTTTATGAGTTATCATTATGTTTTGCAAAGAGGGGTTGTGGTGTTCTGGTTCCAAAACACTGATGTGTCTCCCAGCTTTGCTAAACATTCATGAATTAACTGAGCCAAATACTTGTTCATCAGGTGCTGGATAATCAAGTGCACAAGTCAAAAAAGGTCATTGTTTGTAGCATGTAGTCATGAAATGTGCTAATTGATACCTGTGGTATTTACTATCATGTGCAGTTACAGTGTACTGAATGCAACCCTTGAATATATAAAGACCAAAAGTTCTTCCTGACAGTCTGCAGTAATGGAATAGAAAAATGTATAGGAGGAAAATATTTTAATATCCATTTTATATGAAAGTTTCTGGTGCATTTTTGTGGAGTCATGTTTTTGGTCATGCATTAAGACTTGATGTTCTGTGAATTCTCTTGATTTTTCCTGTACTCCTGATATACGTGTATAAGAATCTCAGAGCTTTACCAGATTACTTTGTGTGATTCTTTGTTCTTCTGTTTCACTCTTTTAGCTCAAAAGATGCTTTGGCCTGGCTTTCTGAGGAAAATGGGATGTATTTTTTTGATACTGTTATTCATTTTCAACCAAATTTGGTTGACAAATAGAAGTCCCAAGATAACTAAATTCCTAAGTTTCTTGAAAACCAGCAACCTGGTAGAGAAGAAGGAAGAAGGTGAACAGAACTCAGTTTTTATATATTCCTTTAGGTAGCTGCTAGCTAGACTGTCAGTAGTGGCAGGGCATTAGAGAGGGCATGCATGGCTGATCTTGCTTGGTTTGAGGTGTCCGAATGAATGTGATAAGAAGATTGGGACTTTTAAGTGAGATAAAGAGAATGCTAGTCAACGGGAGACTGAGTTTTTTCAGAGTTGAAATAAATTAATGGGTTAGTTTGGGGTTTTTTTTGTTGGTTTGGTTGGGTTTTTTTTAATTTTGTTTCTAGCTCCTGTGAAAACTGTTTTAAAGGGCATTTCACAAGTATGAAATATGTTTCAAATTTACACATTTTGATACTCTTCAGTTGAATGCACTAAGCAATCCTGCTGTACATCTGCTCCTTCTCAGTGCTTCCTGCTAACTTATTTCTTTGTCTGAAACTGATCTGTGTACTTACTAAGTTTCAACCCTTCACAACATGTTCACTTGCAGATATAGGACATAAATCTTTTGGTCCTCACTATCAAACATTAGAAGAATCAATGTAGGAGAGCACCTTAGAAACCAAGCTTCTTAGTTCCATTCTTAACAGAAATAGTTGTTTTCTTGGACCTCCTAGTGGTTTTTGTTTTAGTGAATTACTAGTAAAATGTGAATAAAATATTGATAATGATCTATGCGTTCTTAATGAAAACAATAAGGGACTGCAGTGTAAAATACCTCTTCTCTTCAGACAGGAGGCTAATTTAAACGGAATAGTGTAATGGAATTAATATATTTCTTTCACTATGAATTTATGTATAATAATGGAATTAAAATCGTATGTAAAGTATTGTTCAGAGCTGTTTGCAACAGAACTGACACTACATAGTGCCTTTCCTGTATGAATTTTTTTTCTAAATGAAACTGACCCTTTGTGTTATAGCACTATACTTTCATGTAATTATTTTGAAGTGTGTGAAGTGAGAATTGTTGGAGATTACAACTGTCTGTTTACAGCTATAACTGTCTGTAGTTTTAGAAGATCAAAAGATTATTTTGATATATAAGCTTTTCTTTAGAATCTGTGTATTTCCAAACTAAATGGTTAGTTCTCTTTATTTGAAAAGTCAGTGAGAAATGTTAGAGAAAATAAAGGTATTTCTGACTAAAAAGCCACACTGATGTTTACTTGTACGTGTTTTCTGCAAGGCAGATCTGCTGCTGCTTGTCTGTTGTTGTTACCATATGTCCTGTCTCTACTCATCTTTTTATTTTAGCTGTACTGTTGAAGACTCTACTTGTTTGTCTACTTACTAATACAGCATCTAGCACAGTCAATCTAAAGTCTTTAAAAGCATGGCGGTAATAAAATAACAATTATTTTTATGCGCCTTAAAACTCAGTGGCTATAGGAGTGAGTGGAGGCTACGCTACATACCTTCACTGAAAGGTGTTCATATAGCACATAGTTACATTGTGAAAGTTATTGCCACAGATGTTGTTGAGTCCAAGGGGTTCTGTGGTTGAAAAAGTTGTAAGACTTTCATAAAAGAGAAGTCTGCCATGGCATGTTAACACAAAAAATACTCTCTCTCATTTGGAGATTCATGAGCTGTGGACTTCTGAATATTGGTGGAATATATAAGGGAGGTGTTGCTGTATGTTTGTCTTATCCTGATGCTGTTCCCTAGGCATTGTTAGTAAAAAGTGTAGCACTGGATGGCCTTCTCATCTTACCTGTTGTGTCCTATTCAGATGAAGTGACTCTGTTGCTCCCCAAGTATAGCTCGTACTTAGAGCTCTTGGTAGCTTCGCACCTCTGACAAAGCACTCATTTGGGTTTTCTAAAGCTCTTGTTGGAGATAGTGGTGGTAGAAGTAGCAGTAGTATTGGTGTGGGCAGAGAACAGGTCTACATGCAGGTGTTATGTACTGTGGTAGTAGACAATTATTGGAGTAACTCCGGTTTAGAAGCTGGAATAGCAGATGAGCACAGCCGTGTATTGTGTATTAAAAGATTTCATGACATATTATATGGTCAGTACAGAAAGTTTTCTGGCTTATGTGTAGCAGCAGAAGCTAACCTCCTGAAGAATTGTACTATGATAATTACCTTAAAACCCAAAAGTTTATAAAGCAACTTGCATCTTGGATACCAATTGCAATTAATATGACATTCATTCTGTAATCGTGAATATTCTGATCACAGGTGTTGATTAGCATTGAGCATAATAGATGATGGAATTTATTTTTGAAAATAATTCTGCAGTTAAAATAAAAATGGCAAATGTCTGAGTCCAGGCCTTGTTCGAATGATCCCCAGTGCTTCATGTTGAGCATTTGCTTTTTGCCATCTGCTATTTTCTATTTGTCAACACATGTATGCTTAGCATCTTGAATGAACAGGCAGATGTAAATTTCCAAAGCTAAAGAGGGTTGGAGATCTTGCCATATGTCATCCAAAAGATAACTATATATTTGTAGTTAAATCTCAGGACTGACCTTAATAATGCAAAGTAGTACGCGATTAAAAATGGTTGACTTGTAGGTTTGTAAGAATGATTTCATAAGGGCAAATTAGCTTAAAACTGATTAATTTTTAAAATATAACTTGTTTTTATCAATTCTAACAGATTGATGATGGAAAACATTAATAACCCATAACAAATAAAACTGTGCATATGCACTCTACTAGAGTGACTATATTTACTTACAGTTTTGCCATATTTGGTTTGCTGTACTTACTTTTTTCATTTGGTCAGGTCACAATATACAAGTGATTTATTTTACTACAGATAATGTCAATAAGAAGAGTGTTAATTTGATACAGAAAATAGCACAAGTTTGGCCTAAAAGTAGTGATATTTTTTAATCAGTATTTTGTTTTTCTTCTCACCTTCTACGTATTTAAGTAAAAGTTCATATTTATAAAATTTCCTTATAATGTAATGAAACTTATAAATTTATTTCCTTTAAATTCTTGTGTATTTACATGACTGTCATACCTGGATCATCTTGATACTTTATTATTGTAACAATCAATAGCAGCTGAAGATGAGAGACTTTTAGGCACAAACCGTGTGTGACACTGGCAATTTTATAAATTAATTTATTTTTTTTTTTAATAAGCTAACTTTTGTGTATGCTGGCTCATACTCCGGTGTCTTCTCTAGCACACAGCTTCAGCCAGTAATGCTGAAAGAAAAAAAAAAAGAAATGTGTGTTTTGTAATCAGCATAGCTCAATGCAAAGATTCCTTGATTGGCTGTTGTAAGTTCATGCTAAAGTGCTTTCTGAAACACAGAAGACTTGCAGTTTCCGTACTCTGAAAGGAATCGCAACAAACTTTGAGAATTAATATGTTGTCTGCGTAGTAGGAGTTTGGTCTTTAATCTTCTGTCTTTGGAACATGCTGATGGTTTTGAGATATTTGGGATACGTACAGCCTTTTTATCCACAGTTACATACACAGCAATTTCAACAAAAAGATTTCTTAAATGGATAAACAGGTTTTATGCTCTATACTTAGTTTTTCAAAGAATCCATACAGCTTTTAGGAAGGACAATGCTTATGTTCCATTTCTGAATGTGTAGAAAATTAACAAAGGATGACATTAGCGTAACAAAAATAAGCTATTGGGGAAAAAAATTGCACCATCTTATTATTGGCACAATTTTTACATCTCCTTTTGGTCTAGCACTTTGTGGTCAAAGAATGAGTTGCTAGATTGTTTTCAAATTTTCATATAGCTGCTCTATATCTGAAAACTGCTTTTTACAGGGAATAAAGTCACCAAATGCATAAGCTTTGTCTAGCTGAAAATCAGGTGTCTGTTCCTGTTGATGCTGATGATATTATAGGATACCTTTCAACTGGAAAAAAATTATTGTGCAGGAAAATTATATGCTGCTGTTACAATGTGTGCCCTAATCTTAAAGAAAATCCATGTAATTTGAGCAGGGAGTATGCAGGAAGCTCTTATTTTTAATATGGTAAGGAAATAAAATGTGCCATTTAACACATAGTGTTACAAAGATTATCTTTTTATCAGAAGGGGTGGTGTGTGTATAGAAATACAAAGTGTTAAGGTGATCACTTAATCTGTTTGAAAGTAGAAAATTTGAAAACAGAGCATCAGGCATAGGTGAGAATGACTCTCAGCAGCAGTAAAAAGAGACATTAATAGAAATT